TTAAACCAGTCCATGATGTAAGTATTTCGATTATTTAAATGGTGGGGAATCCCTCCTGCTCCCGCGCTGCCTCCCTCTCTCTCCGTCGCTGCCTGCCTCGCTGTGTACCCCCATCCCTCAAGTAAGCATTCTCATAATCTTCATCACCTCCCTTATCTTGCCCTGTCTCCCAGCCCACCGCTTCCGCCCCCCCACCCCAGCCTCGGCCCACCCCCTTTCATCATCTTCATCATCTTCCAGCCCAGTCCCCCAGCCCGCCTCCCTTACTTAGATAATTGGAACAATTCACACGGTGGTGATTTGGGGTATCTCAAATTTTTGAAGTAAAATCTGTCGCATCAAATTGTTACTAGCAACTGCCCAAGAATCGGTTGGCAAAATTTGTTGCTATTGGCTGTTTTCCTAGTTTGACTATAACCACAAACAAGTCAATCGCAGCAAATTTTGCCCAAGAATCGGCTGGCAAAATTGGCTGCGATTGGCTGTTTCCTGAGTCAGATCTAACCGCGAACAAATCAGTCGCAGCAAATTTTGCCCAAGAATCAGTTGACAAAATTAGCTGCGATTGGCTGTTTCCTAATCTAGCCACGAACAGATTGACACTTTGCTGTGATGGGCTGTTTCATTTATAACCACGAACAAATCAATCGCAGCAAATGTTGCCCAAGAATCGGTTGGCAAAATTTGCTGTGATTAGCTGTTTCCTGATTTCGATATGACACGAACAAATCGATCGAAGCAGTTTTTGCTATAAGAACCGGTTGGCAAAAGCTCCGACATTAAAAACGCAAGGTGTTGTGAAACCATTGTCTCCCTCCAACAACAAAAGCACAAGGCTTTTTTGCATACCTTTGCCGTCTTCCAACAACAAAACATGTAAGATTGTTTGTTTGACCTTCTCCACATTCCGCGCGCAAGTTGTTTTATAAACCCTTGTCCTCCGCCAACATTAACAACATAAGTTGTGTTGTAAACCTATGTTCTCCCTATCATTGTTGTATGTGCTACATTATGAACAACATTCCTACTGTGACACGGTGTGCTAGGACGTTGACGGCACCTTGTGTTCATGATTACCGTTGTACATATTGCTTCCTTGTGCTTGATCATTACTTCCATCATTTTATGAATCTCTGATTACTGTGGCTGTTGTTGTTGCTGTTGTTGATGTTGGTATTGATGTTGTTGAAACGTAAAGCCCGACTGACACTAGAACATAGACTACAAGAACAGATACGGGGTTACTGCTTGCGGCTGACGGTGTCGTCATCGCTGTTGTTGCTTTGTTGCTGTTGCTGAAGAAATGCAAAGTCCGACTGACACGACAACACAGAATACAAGAACAGATGCAGACAACAGCGCGTGCGATGGATCATGCCCCATCTCCTTCCTTTGAGCTCTATGCTACCTCCCCACCCTCCCCAAACAAATCTAAGCTGTCAAGCTTTGAACCTTCTCATCTGGTATTCGTCTGTACCATATTCATCATTTGTTTGTGCGGTTGTTGCTGGTGTTGTTCTTGGTGTTGTTCTTGACCCCCGGGCATACAAAGGGGCCTGGCACTTAGAGCTGCTGCTAGGGCTGCAAAGGCTTTCAACGTACACGTGCCAAGGAAAACAATTGGACATAGTATGAATGTTACTGACTAGCCACCAATGAATTCATCTATGTATGACGCAAAGAGTGACTTCTTGCTCGTAAGAATTTATTCAGTATTCTCACGAACACTGTGAAGAAGGACACCTAAAGGGTACTTGGCGCCTAACCAACCTGCCATCTGCATGATCATGCGTAACTATCGGTAGGGTATGCAGTAACCCCAAATCTGAGACGAATAACATGAAGCCCTGATGTAAGTGCAGGCCCTAGATTCCTCCCAATTCCTGGACCTTGAAATAACCAGGGAGAAAAACACATCTTATAGACTTCCATTTCAGAATGGTTCCTGTAAAGGAACACGTCCCAAACTAAGTATTTCAAGTACTTGGAGGATCATGGGACTTAGTAAAGAAGGTTATAAGTCCCTTAATTGGGGTTATAAGTATAGTTACCCTAATTACAACCTTACTTACCAAGTCCCATGATCCTCCAAGTATGGTACTCCAGAATCCACCTTGAAGACCCTGAGACACCCTGGCACCTTCATGGCCAGGTGCTGCAGCAGGGCTTCTGTCTGATCTATCTCCACGCCGGAGGAGCAGGACCTGATCTCAGTCGTTGGTTTTGCTGGATAGATAGATAGATAGATAGATAGATAGATAGTTTTTTTTTAGAGTTTAGGTAGATGGATTGACAGGCAGATCGACCGATAGTTGGATAGATGGGCTGGAGAGACACGTGAAAAATCAATGTTCAATAGCTGAATTTAGTAGCCAACAACAGCAAACCCTGCACGTTTCGCGGGGTTCCCAGCTTCAACACTGCCGGGGCCCAGAATCTTGTTTCGACTCATGGCTTCGCGTGTCGGCGCTAAAATGGGATCCAGGGCCAGGGTTGGAACTCGAAGTCCAGAACTGCTGCAAGCCCAACTGTTGGGAGAGATACGAACACTTGCTGCTTATATGGCTCTACCATTGCAGAACGCCAACAGGAGTAGCCACTTCATTGTGCAAAGCAGTGAACGTTAGTCTCGTTCAACTGTCTGACCTTTGAAGCCTTGAAGGCCCTGATGTGCATTTTCAGCTCGGGAAAACTCGGAAGACATAAGCTGAGATTTCCAGCGCACCGGCAGCGGTAGACTCCGAACCGGGCAGCATGGTCGGGTGGCTGGCGACGTCCAGCCTTAAAGCGACTCAGCTCAGCTTAATGCTTCTTAGGAAACAAAGCGTGGCAGTCCGTTTCTGGTCACTGTATTATATATATATATATAATTGAGAGAGAGAGAGAGAGATTGCGCTGCATATATATATATATATATATGTATTTCCATTATCGCTGCTGTTGCTGATGGCTTTGGTGCAGTGCTGCTTTCAGCTTTGCTGTATCTACTTGAAAACTTCCAAAAAAGGCGCACTAGCCGCCTAAAACTGGCACTGCCGCTGCTGCTGATGATGATGCAGCTCCTTATCCTACTGCTGCGGCTCCTCCTTCTGCTGCTGCTGCAGCAACTGCCACTACCACCGATACTAACACTACGACGGGCAAGATAAGTCCTGTTGATCAGGAAAGAATGAAGCGATGGAGATGGAGGCATGACTACGACTAAGACGAACGAGTGATGTGCACACAATGACCAGTCAAAGGCACCACCAATCTCACGGGCCCACTTATTCTTCGACCCGACCGGACACAGCTGGTACATACTGTTGAGTTCAGTTGAGGAACCTAAGAAAAAGGCTTGACCACATGCAGCAGCCTTGCGGACCCCAGATTCAGGAGTGCAGTGACCAGGGGCGAGTTTCAGAAACATCGGTGTCTATTTGAGTCGCTTTTTAGCTGTTCTCGTCTGAGACATGTATATAACAAGAAGCAGTCAAGTCGTTTCTCGCAGGAGGCACAACGCGCATGCAGGTGCTTGAACTGAGGCTACTCCTTTGGTGCTTGGGACCGCTTGTTCAAAGCACAACTTGTATCAGCCCTACATATGATGCCTGTGCCATGTGACGATTCTTGCACTCTCTGGGTGTCCCAAGCGACGTGCAGGGTAAATCGATGCCTCTCTGCAGCCGTTTAAAGATGCAGAGTAGGAGGGGTAGGCTTCTCTCCACTGGTTCTCCTAGCATTCTGCCATGATCCTACCTCTACACGAAAACTCCGACATGAAGTGTTAAAATCAAGATCCTTGCGTGAATCGAAGCCTATCCTCGGTTCGCATGGCATCTGCACTGTGGGAGATTGCACATAAATGCAACACAGTGCCTCGGTGCCTAGCAGATTGTACAGGGCCCACTTAGATGTCGTCCGCTGGACATTTTGTACCGGCCGCTTAATGCGTCTCCTAGCGTTTCAATCATCCTGAACAACAAAGCTGGTATGTGCTAGATATACAAACATAATAATTTAATAACAAGCAGCTGCTCATGAAACATATTTGGGTCTCTGTTCTTGTACTTTCCACATGTACATGGAGCCAGCTGAAGTTCCTGAAAGCTGGACATGGTTCTTCTGAATCAATCCCATGAAGCGCGCTAACTACCCACATCAATCGATGCGGCAATTCGCCTACCCGGTACGCCAACTTCGAAACTTACGCGCAAATTGAGGGCAAAGAGCACAAGCTCTGGCTTCAGACTTTGGGTTTAGGGCCGACCACTCGACAGCTTTTACCCTTCTGTGGACCCATCGTCTGAGCTCTGGCGAGGTCCACTCACTCCCGGGGCGTCTGAAGCCCATACCACCCATGGCCTATGTCCTGGGCTTGCTGTTGGGAGCTGCTTGGCAAACACACACTTGGCTTGGTATCCTTCGGGAGACGACGCGACTATTGCATCTCGAGGGGCTGGATTTATCGACAGGGACGAAATTTCCCTAACCCCAAGCTCGAACATACGCTCTCAATGCCCAAGGATCTGATGACCCAGCAAAGGTGAGGGACGCTGCACCTCGTGGAAGGAAGAGGGCTCTTGCTAGGGGTTTAGGGCCCCTGAGGCTCTGGATCCAGTGCTCGTCTCCCGAAAAGAAACGTGTTGCTGAGGGTTTAGCCTCTTTGAAGGCATAATTCATTGCTTCCTGTCGGAAAGGAAGACGAAAATATTGAAGTCAATAAGGCAATAAGGCTCCTTATCCGGATCTCTCATGTGAGAGTTTCAAGCTTCCGACACGTTGGGGGCTGACTTCTGCTACCGGGTCAACTCTGAACCCGTCTATATACATCTACATGTTCGAGACAAATATTGGCGATTATTCAGGCTTCTATTGTAAGCACAGTTTGGCGATATAGACATATATTCAAACTCGTGGCTTGCCGGATTCGTTCGCATTCCTGAACAAGCTCCTGTACTTAGCAAACACGGCCCCTGAAAGGCTCGACGACACTCAATGTTTCGACGATACACTTGAACTCAGAGCTGCCTGAAACCCTGACACTTAGCAAGCACGGGATACCAGGGGAGGGCACGGCAAGTCCAAGGGGCCGAATAGTTGTCGGCTGCAGAGGCATCCGAGGTGCCCAGCAGGGCCTGTTGGGAGGATGTTGCGGAGTGTCACAAGGTGTAGCGTCCGCAGAATCATCGTACATCGTGGTCTATGCGGCTGTCTGACTCCTGCAGGAAGCGATCCCGGATGCCTCGCGCATTATCGCCTCCTGCTCGGCGTTGTGAAGCTTCCTTCAAGAGGCGTTCAGGAACTGAGCAGTGATTCTTGTGCACGAGAGCATCTCAGCCACAATGGTACTCCTATGAACTCATCAAGGATTCAGACTCCCAAGCCAGAATTGTGCCGCGGAGCGGGTAGCCGGTAGCCGGACTCGCAGCAGCACGACGCCCAATGTATCGCATCACCAAGTCCTCTCAGTCAATTTGTATGGACTCACCATAACAACCTCCAGCCCTCAACTGCAGCCCCGAGAGTGGGAAGAGGAAGAAATCGAGGGTGTCGCGGCACAAGGGAGAACTCTGGAAAACCTGACCCCCCGTTGCTGTCTACATCAGCTTCACCGCAGTCGACCTGGGACGCACGATGCATCTAGCAGCCTGAGCAGGTATGTAGTGCTTGTAAAAAGGCGCAACTCACTTAGACTTGGTGTGCGGCGGATGTCGCAGAACAGCGGAGACCCCTAACCCTACAGTATGGTAAACCCCAGCATCCCCAAAACCCTGAACATCTGAACTCCAACCCCCCCTTTAAGCCTAAGAAGCCTGAACCCTCGGCTGGCGAAGCTTTGTGTGAGCTGCTGGCTGCAAGGTTCACCTCACCTCTGACTCGTTTGGCGTGTCTCGTTGAAACGAAGAAGGGATGGAGTCTCAAGCGAATTCGCTAGTGGTTCGGGTTTCGGGTTGTTTTGCTGGGCTTCTTCAGGGTTTTTAAGGAAATTGTATCTGTGGTGGCATGGCACGCCCGAGCTTGAAAGTGTAGTCAGGTGTTCAGTATGTGGGGGGCTGGGTTGCTCATGGCCTGCGCGCCAATCGAATCAGCTGGAGCATCGCATGTTCAGGCTGCTCACCACATCTCTCTCAGATGCAGGCATGCTGTGGGCGGATGCAATGAAGCACCCACTTTTGAAAGATGTCAGTCGCATAATGCCATAATGCCATAACCCTAGGATATAGCTCCGAAGCCCTAAACCCTGTCCATGTTACGTACACGCGATGCGCTGCTCATGTAAGAACTTGAAGACGGAGCCTTCATAACTTTAAATGCACCCCGCCCGCACCAGTGGAAGACAACTGCCACACAAGCAAGCCCTTCCCGTCAGAACTCCGATATTAGCCGGTACAGCGCGACGGCTCCTAAAAGAGCTATCGCGCTCTCAGCTCACATGCAGCAAAAGCGATGTTTTGCTCCGTGGCTACAACTACTGATCAAATGTCGGCTGCTGCCACTAATCGATTCGTGCTGCTACTGCTGCCGCTGCTCCTGCTGCAGCTACAGCTGCGGCTACTCCTGTTCCTATTACTACGGCTACCATTACCTCTACCTCTAAGACCACCCACCACCATAGCATCCACCAAGACTACTGCTACGACGACGACGACGAGTACGAGTACCACTAGACTATACCACTACTGCCGTTGCTGCGGCTGCTACCTTGACTTTCGAGTTGCCGAAACATCGGTCCCGCTGAATGACGATTGTGCCCTTGTCGGCATCATCTGTGAAACCTGCGGCCTTTCCTTCAAGTGAAGAAGCTGTCTTTGCTCGAGACTTGCCATGTTACAGCAATGCTAAGTAGCAACAACAAGTGTTACATGAACACAAATAGGAACAACACGAACATCGGCAAAAGCACAATTAACACCGAAGCAGGCTTACATATAGTTGCGCTTATAATAGGTAGGTGCTACTGTAAAGCATCGTGTGCAACTGAGGACCCATTAGGCTGCCTAAGTCGTAATACAAAATATGAGATATAGTATCCAATAAGAGCCACTCTGCAAATACTCTCCATAATCCAAACTCTGCCTGTATCCCGGGGGCGGGTGTAGTACTGTTGTCCGACATGCTTCTCCGGCTCGAGCTGTTTGCAGTTACGAGGCAGCACAATCGGATCCGTTTCTACAGCCCTAAGAAGTACACGAGCCCATAGCAATCTAATGCCCGTCGCAGACCGAGTTTCGGGGATGCTGTCAATGAGTCGAACGCCCGTGTCGAAGCTTGCTTCACTGGAGGGTTCAGCTGACTGGGTGCCGTACCCCTGCCCGAAGAACTCAAGGGAAGCCCTGGTCCGAATAATCGCACAAGGCCCTTCTAAACAAAGGAGACCTAGGACGTTGGTTTTGGTTGAGAAATGTCGGGGGAGCATCTTATCGGACTTCGCATCATACAAGAATGTCCATCTAAGCATCCTCCGTGCTATAGTTGCTATATATAGAGGCTGACTAAGGCAAGAATAGCAAATATCCCGAAATGGATACCCCACACCTATCCTAATCATCATAAGACATCCGCAAGGCCCCCTATAAGCCCTGGGTGTGTCGTAGCTTTGGGCATCGGTCCTTCGTAGCCCCCAGCCAAATGCAACTGAATCGAAACCCTCCATTACATGCTCATCTCCTATATCCACGCAGCCGAAGTCGAAACCCGTGAAACCCTCCCTAAACCCTAGACCCTAAACCCCCTAAACAGCAGAGCATAAACCTCGGAATTTTTCCTTACCCAGTGCAGGAGAGTGTGTTTCAAGGCACTGGGTTCGGAGACGGTGACCCTCCACAGGGTCTAAGCACGCATATCGTATATATTTTGGGCCCCAAAGTATCTACCCCGAACCCTCCAGGTACCTACTATATGGGGCCTTAGGGGCTCCAGTACCCTATATAGTAGGTACCTGAGGGTTAGGGCCATACTAGTCCTTAGACCCTTCAAAGGGAATCCATCAGCTTGGCGCTTGCGACGAGGTCTTCGGCGCGGCGGAGGCTTTGTCACCTGAAGCTCGGGATCCTAAAAGCGTCGGATGTCTCTGCATCTCCTCGAAGCGCCGGCTCAACTTCTGGCAGCGCTGGACATGGGCCTCACAGGGCTTCGCCTCTCGCTCTTGACGGTAGACTATACGAGACTAACTAGACTATACTAGACTATGCTAGACAAAGTTATACTATACTACTTTACTCCACCATGCTGTCAAGACAGCTGGTCATTAGAAGTTGTGAGAGAACACGAACTGGATCTGAGCGCCTTCGGCTGAAGACCCAACTACTCAAGCAGGAAAACTCTGGGCATATGGGCTTTAGCAGGCATTTGTGTGGAACACATAAGCTTTAGGGTTTCGATTTTGGACATGTTGGTTTAGTTTTAGGGTGCGACAGCCCGGGATCTTGTGATGTCGAACTCGCTCTCGTCTGTGTCAGCCTTGCATGTGCCTTTCTGGAATAATCACAAAAGGGTTAACTATGAGGGAATAACACTGTCGACTCCCAAAAATATTAGATGCTCTAGCAGTACTGTGTTCAACCAGGTATTGCAACAGGAACAATCCTAGAAAGGTATGCTTACCCAAATTCTAGCCATCCATGCCCTGTCCGAGAATGATGTTGCGGAGCCCCGCCCAGTGACAGTAAACACTAGTATGTGAAGTCTGAAGGTTCGGAAAGGTGGGGCGCCTGGAGGCCACTGCATGCCACATAGCGATGACAGGAAGGGCACTTCTCCGTGGGCGACGGGGCGTGGCAGGACGGACGCACGACCTTCGGCGCGGAGACGTCCGACCAAGAAGCGCGCCGGTAAGGATTGCCTAGGCACGTGCAAACGACAAGCGTCGGTTGATTTGGTTATGACGCCACTAGCAAAGCGAACATTCCAAAATCTTAGGATTGCTCTCGTTTCATCTGCTCACACTGTGAAACGTATTGCAATAAGAAGTTTAAACACTGAAGATCTTTCCATGCCACCCTTGCTTTCCTTTGGAGTAGTCTCGGGCCGGCAGCGTGCTTCATGCTGCTGCAGCGAGGTGCGGAGTACCTACAGCAGTGCATATGCATGCCCCGGGCCTAGCATTCCATATTTGTGGAATGTTCCTAATGTATTAGGGGCCTTAATAGTTGGAATAGGGTTTTGGGCTCCTTTATGGTATAAGTATAATAAGGAACCTATGGAACAATATTGATAATTATTTAGGCTTCTATAGTAGATTCGAGAACCGCTGGCATGATGAAGGTTTACGATGCTTCCAGCGTGATTCTCCTGTGGAAATGCAGCTCCTGCAGCTCCAGCCGCTTGATCTTCAAAAGCATCGCCCAAACGGAAATCCTAACAGCCAATGGTACCGATGAGAAAGTCCTAGGTTCTGGCATGCATGAAGTCCATTAGATGCACCGGGCTTGGACGCCTGAAGACAAAAACGAAACATTAAACATATCTTGAAATCACAAGCAACCAGCCAACAAAAATACAGCTATCGGCTGAAGAAGCGCGACGCTATTCCCGAACCACCTGTTTGCGGGACCGAAATTAGTTGACCCAAATAAGGAACTCTTGGGAGATTTTCGGACAGCGAAAATACTGAGCCAACCTTCAACCCCCCCCCCCCCGCTGGCAAGAACAAGCCGTAAACCTAACAGAAACACAACAGCTCTCCACTCCCCCACCCCCCCGGCCCCCAAGAACACACTTAAAACATCTTTACAAAACAAAACATGGAGGCTACCTGGCGCCCACATCGCTGGCACTGCACGGTGCAAGGGCCGCGGGCAGACCGCGGAGGCCTTGCGCCGGGTCTCACTATACTTGGAGGATCATGGGACTTAGTAAGTAAGGTTATAAGTCCCTTACTTGGGGTTATAAGAATAGTTACCCTAATTAGAACCCTACTTACCAAGTCCCATGATCCTTTAAGTAGGGTTTTCGACTCTCACTCTCGCACACAGCAGGCAAGGGCTCCACATATGTCACTAGAGGGTTTAGGGTTTAGCGTTTANNNNGGGGGGGGGGGGGGGGCGGCAAGGTTTCGGGGTTTAAGGAATTCAGGACTGGGGTTGTGATGCAGGCTCGTTTGAGGTTAAGGGGTCGAATTTGTCTTGGTACGTACAGCATTTTGGGGGGTACTTAAGGCTTAAGGATTGTAGGGCTTGTGGCCTAGACGTGAAGTATCTGCACTTTGGACTGCTTCTAAAGTTGAGCGTCTGCCTAGACCTTGAACTGCATCTCGTCTGGGGGGTCATGTTGCGGGGGTACTTTATGTTACCTTGCTATCTTATGCTAGGAATCAACCACCCCACTAGCTCGACCAAAAGAGAAACAGGCTGCACTCGACGGCGAGGCAGGGCTTGGGGTTTAGGGGTTTAG